TCATATTGTTTATTGTGAAAACATTCTTATAAAGATAAGAATTTTGATTTATCGTTAGGATAAATTTTAGTTCTTGATGTTTAATAATAAAAAACAGATCAGAAAGATTATTTGCTTCTTTGCCCACTTTTTGTTCGTCCACAGTAAATTTAAAAATTTTATTAAATGCAGTTAATTTTTGCAGTTAAGTGATATAAATAACTTTTTTAAGTAAGATGATTAGTAATATATTTTTAAGATGAGAATGTTTTTCACAATATTTATGTTTGTGGTGGTATGAATGCTGTGATGAATTATTTACCCAAGAAAAACAAGCAAATAGTTTCTTTTATCATCTTTGATTTTATTGCAGTACTATTGTGATAACAATAAAGTCCATGTCGCCCGTCTTCATGGTGATGTCTTGTTTCTTTCTTGCAGGTGAGCATCCTGGAAACAGGTGAAGTCTGCATGGAGCTTTTAAAATCCCAAAACGGCCAGGAAAGGGTTAAAGAGGTTCTGCAGATTTCCTGCGATGGCTCCATGGTGCGGTCACATGACGCACGCTTTGCCGTTCGCATGTTTTTCAGCATGTTGTAATCGTGGTGATGCCGCTGTTGCCACAGGTGACGATATACCAGCCCAATGGCGGGAAGGGGTTACCTTTGCTGGACCGGCCGCCAGCGCCCCCAGAGGACATTCTCATCTGTAGCTACGACGACCTTCCAGGTAAACAAACACAGACTTCATTAATATCAGGAAATGGAAATAAATACAATAAACTACTGGGTTTATACGTGAGTTTTAAATACTTTAGTTTGGAATGTTCTTGATTGAAACTTCACAGTTTTGTAATAAAGTTCAATCTAACGTTTGATTTAAAGCTTAAACTTGGAAATATATTATTTATAGTTGAAGCCAGATATTTCCATACACTTAAAAATACTTTTTAACATTTTTTTATCACTGTCTGAAGTTAAATTAGACTAAATTTTTCTTGGTTAGAATTACCAAAATAATTTCTATTTGCTAAATTACATTTTTTTGGTAACTTTCTTTGTATTTTGTGTTTAAACATTTAATTTGAGCAGGAAGGTAATTTACCTTCACATAATTTCAATGAATATCTATAATTAGCAATGACTCAGTAACTTATTGATCTGTGAAACTAAAATAAAGGTTATCTTATATATTACAAGTTAAATAATGTTATTGAAATTAAAAGATTCTTTTTTTTTTGTTAAATTTGGGTTTTATTTTCAGACCATTTAGGTGAACAGGGTGTGTGAGGGAGACATTTCTAAACATTAAATTTTGTTAGATTTGAATTTACCTCATCCAGACTGTAGAATGTAAAATATTACCACAATACAGTATTAATAACGGTAATAAATTAGACCAGGTATAGTAGTAAATTTGTATTGTCTTATCTATGAAGTTTGGTGCTGGAAAAGTTTGAAAACCTACCTTGAAAGTGCTTGAAAAGTTCTTGAATTTTACAGAGAAATACTGGAAGAAGTACCAATACGCCTCCAAGTTTGTGCAGCTTGTGAAATCCAAAACTCCTAAAGTGACTCTGTACACCAAGTTCGCCAAAGTGATGCTGATGGAAAACTCCCCGGACGCGGACCTGGAAGTCTGTTTTTACGACGGTGAGTCCCAGATGTTGGGCAGATGTTGGGCCGTCGCTGCAGAAGCGGCTGAGCTGACTCTGACTCCGTCTTCTAGGAGCAAAGACCCACAAGACGTCGGAGCTGGTGCGAGTGGTGGAGAGGAGCGGGAAGTCGTACACGGTGAAGGGAGAAGTGGGGCTGAGCGGGCTGAGCCCGGAGAGCCGGCTCTACGTGGAGCTGTCCGACGAAGGCCATAGCATGTGTCTGTCGCTAGAGGCCGCCATCACGGCGGAGGAGCAGCGGAGCGCCAAGAAAGTCCCATTCTTCCCCATAACCATCGGCAGGTAGAGACGTGGAGGGATTCTTCTCATTTTTTCTGTTCTTCTTCTCGTTTTTGTTGTTTTTCCTTTCTCTTTCTGTTCTTGTTCTTTGTTTTTTCTTGCTTTTGCTTTTTGTGTTCTCTTCCCTCTTGTTTTTCTTCTAGTAATTTTCTTTGTTTTTTATCTTTATTTTTTCTTTTTGTTTATTCTTGCTTTTTCTTAATTTTTTCTTGTTTTTTGTTTTTGTTGCTTCTCCTTTTTGTTCTTGCTGTTGAACTTGTTGTTTGGTCCTGTTTTTTTTTTCTTTTTCTTGTTCTATTGTTTACATTCCTGTTTTTTTTCCTGTTTTGCTTCTTGTTGCCCTTGTTTTTGTTTTAATTGTTCTTTTCTTTCTTCATGTTCTAATTTCTTTCTTGTTCCATTCTACTTCTTATTTTGTTTTTGTTCCTTTATGTTTTCTTCTTGTTTTGTGCTTTGTTCTTGTTTGGTCTTGTTCTTGTGTTCTTCCTTCTTGCTCTTCTTCTACTGAGGGGTCTTTCTTTGTGTTAATCTTCGCAGGAGGCCGGCCAGCTCAGAGTCTTTATCCTCCGGGTCGGCGCCGTCACGGCCGGTTCCTCCTGATTTGGCCACGCCTCCTAAACCTCCACAGATCACTCCTTCAGTAAGAGTCGCCGGCTCAGCATTAAGCCACAATACATCCAGATCCGATCTGTGACGACGTTATTTATTTTCAGATGATTTCCTACGACGGGTCGGATTTCACCTCAGCCAGCTTGAGTAAGAAATGTTCCCCGGTTCGACAGGACTCGGTTCAGAGCACAGGAAAGGTGGTGAAGTCGATATTCGTGCCCAACGTCGGATGGGCATCCCAGGTAAAAAGATCAGGATAGTCTCTGATCTGTTGGTGTGTGCAGCTGTTAAAGAGTCGGGTTTGTGTTTCTGAAGCTGACGAGTGGAGAGGTGTGGGTCCAGTTCAACGACGGCTCCCAGCTGGTGGTGCAGGCCGGCGTTTCCTGCATCACTTACACGTCTGCAGAGGGCAGAGTCACCAGGTGGGAAACACAAAGTGATATTAAATGTTTTAAACTCTGAATCTGCACAACTCACACCTGCCTAGACTGAAACACCTCCATTCTCTCAACAATAAATCACTGATGTAACGTTATCGACTAATGAGTTAGTCTAAAGCTGGTTGAGTTGGTGATTAATTCATACACGACCATTTTCTTAAAAACATGAGTTTTCTCTTATGTCAAGACCACAACATAAATGGCTTTTTTTCCATAATGTTGAATTTAAAATAAAACATAATTAAATTTTAACATTATTTTTGTATCAGCTGTATTAAATATTGACTGTATTAACACAAATGTCTGTTTCTTTCACATTAAAATTAAAACATATTTATAAAATATAACAGAAACCTCATAGATTGCTGAAAATAAAAATAAAGTAATTCCACAGGGACAGAGTAATGTTCATACAGGTGTCCTGTTTGTTTTTGCTCTTAAAGGGATGGTAAATATTCGCTCCATTTAGTGAATTAACTCACAACCCTAAAACCAACCGTTCTTAGCGGCGCCATGTTCTTTCCCCCCTGCATCATGTTACCATTTTTCTCCGTTATTTTTGACACTTTTGTGTCACCACATCCTCGCAAAGTATTTTTGATGCTTAAGGAGTTTGTCGAGTGTTTATATTTCAAAACAGAACCGCATAAAGTGCATTTTGTATCCCATATCGGACTCTGTCTGGACCGTTACTCTGTCCCGTTCCGCCATCTTTTTATTTCCGGCTCCACTTAAGGATGACCAGCGGCGCCCTCTGCTGGAAACAACAGTAAAAAAGGTCCAAGCGGACGACATTAGTTAAATTAGTTAATCGATCGGAATTCTTTTTTTTTTTTAATCTAATAAAACATAAATTGACCACCAACTGTTTGCATTCTTACGATAAACAACCTGGCGCATCTCCTCTGCAGGTACAAGGAGAACGAGAAGCTGCCTGAACACGTCAAAGAGAAGCTGCACTGCCTTTCCACCATCCTTGGCCTGCTGGCCAATCCGGCACCTCGTCACGCGCATGCGCATTAGCCGTCTGCAGAGAACCCACGTTAGCATTAGCAACCTCCAGATTGTCGCCGCTCCGCAGTTGCTGTAAATATTCTGTCTGTATCTTTGCTCTTTTCTTTTTCTTTCTTTTTTTTTTTACATGTACAGAAGACTGATTATGAAAAGATTTTATTTTTATAACATGTTGTATAGTGTCTAAAATAGCCGTGTTGCAATGTTTTCCTGTCTCATGAATTTGGTGATGCAATAAACATCTGGAGGTGGAGAACTAGAGATCTGATTGAATGGTTTTCTCTTCATAATTTATAATTAAAATATATTTTATTGAATGTAAAAGTGAAACTACAGTTCAAACCAGACATTTACATATACTGAATAAAAATATACTTCAGATACTTCTTTATCTCACTGTATGAACTTAAACATTTCAGAAATTTTCTAGAAAATAGTTGGAAATTTCTAGACAAAAAAAAAAAAAATCCCTCAAAAGCTTTTTTCAACTCTGCTTTACTGAGTTGGAAAAATGTCCAAGAGTCAAAAATGTGGCTAGGAAAAACCCCCCAAACATTTTGAGATTGACTTCAAATTTTGCAATTACTGTCAAATTTTTTAGAAAAATATAGGAAATGTCTGGGCTCCAAAAGTTGAACATTTTGCTAGAAAACATTTTCAGATTAATTGCACTTTTCTAGAATTTTTACTCTTTTTTTTTATTTCTGAATTTTAAAAGTCAAAGATTTGCAAGAACAAAGACCTGAAATTTTGAGATTAATCTCTTTTTTTCCAAGAAAATTTTGATCTAAAAATTTCATATTTTTTGACAGAAATTTTTCTTCTTTCTACAATGACTATGTGGTAAAATTTGGCATTTATCAAACTGAATTTTCACTGTTCTAAAACAAGAGACATTTGGCTTTAACTTCAGTTTATAAAAATAACTTCTGATTTCACCTGTAACTAACCTTATCAAACACCTGAACGACTGAACAAAACCAGGTCACCATATTAAGACAACAGAGGTTTCACATGTTTATTTTTGCCTGTTGAACTGGCCCTTTAATTAAAAAAAGGTCAAAATTGTGGATCTTAATTACAGAACTCTTACAAAACATACTATATGGAATTAAGCCTCGGCGCATATAAACATTATACAAGACACCCAAGAAGTAAACATTGAGGTGAAGCTGGGAGCAGGAAACGGTCTGGGCTGCAGATTATTTTCACCATGAAGAACAGGAAGTACAGGAAAGTGTTAGATTCTCCTGACTCCGCTGTAGTTCGGATCACCAGTATGGATTTAAAGGTTCTGGCCCAGACAGATGCTGATGAGGAAGCTGCAGAGACAATTAAGTGGAAAAGAAAATAGGAGGAATGATCTCCAGGATTCAGGCTCAGAGGAGTGCAATCATTTACAGTCTGAACTGCGGTTCTGGTTTGATTTGATCATCAACATGCGAGCCATTTTACTGTAAAATATGCTCAAAAACATCACTGCTCTCAGTTTATTTATATAAAACATTTTTCCATAAAATCTCAATAAAATAAAGTTACTCTCATTAGATGTCAAGACAAAAGTATAAACAAACTAGAGTAAAAAAAAAAAAAAATCACAGTGAACACTGGGAACAAGAGCTGGACCTCCTCCCTTCACACAGATACAGCAGCTGGAAGAGGAACCGGGTCAGAACCAAGCTCAGCGAAGCGACGGACAGTTCTGCAGGAGAGGATGAGCGACAGGAAACGGATTCCTCCTTAAATCATCCAGACCAGAAGTTTTCAAAGTATGAGAGAGCAAATAGAAAACTGTCCTCCATTTTATCGATTTCTGAAAATCTGTTGAAGTTCCTGGATGTGGTTTACCTGCTTAAACACCAAAATACATTTCGCTGCGCTAAATATTTAGCTTCATTCAGAATATTTAGGCTGAAGCTAAATATCTAGCTTCAAATTAAGTATTTAGTTTGAAGTGAAATATTTAGCTGGCTTACTAAATATTTAGATTCCCTAACAAAACATTTTGTTTACACCATATTTAGCTTGGCAAATAAAAGGTAAATATTTAGCTTTTCATGTAAATATTTAATGTGAAGGTAAATACCTAAATATTTGTTTAAGCTAAATGTTTAGCTTGCTAATTAAACATTTAGTTTCAATCTTAATATGTAGCTTCACACTAAATATTCAGATTGCTAACTAAACATTTAGACTGAAACTAAATATTTCACTTGCTAACTAAATATTTAGATTTAGTTCAATCTAAATATTTAGTTTGAACCAATACCAAGCATAATTCATTTTTAAAACTACAGCTGGGAAGCTGTGAAAGTCTTCCAGCGCCACTTAAACTAACCAGTAAATTTTCTCTCTCAAACTAAATATTTAGCTTCAGTCTAAATATTTAGCTTGAAGTTAAATATTTCGCTTCAAACTAGATATTTTGCTTCAAACTAGATATTTTGCTTATATTGAAGCTAAATATTTAGTTTGAAGTTAAATATTCAGCTTTCTAGCTAATTATCTAGAAATTTAGAAGCTAAATATCTAATTTGCAAACTAAATATTTGCTTTAAGGTAAATGTTAAGATGGCTAAGTAAACATTTAACTGAAGCTAAATATTTAGTAGCTAACTTAATATTTAGTTTGAAACTGACATTTATAAATTAATGAGTAATACGGAGAAAATATTATTAAAAGTTTTTGCTCTCATGGCTAAATAACCCAATTATTGCCCCATAGTGGAGCATCTTAACATCCAACCCATGAAAATCCAAACTTTAAATAATCACCAGAAACCAAACAGATTTAGATACTAAATATTTAGCAGAGGCTTGGTGAAGTTGGCTAAATGTTTATGGATATTTTTCTGAGGAGCTCAGGCATCTCACATTTTGAAAATCTTGGATCTTTTAGTTTATCGTTTTAAAGTGACACGCTCGTTTAAGGAGACGATCCACTGGAATATCGGAAATCATCCTGGAATTTCTCTGCAGACATGAAAACGGGGAATGTGGTTGCAGAGAATCGACATCTGGAGCCAAACGGCTGCAGAAACGCCACCAAACTTGGTCACGTGATCACACATGTTCAACTCTTCTCTCTCAATCTAACTTCATGGCACTTTGAGAAGAACTCCCTTCTTCTGACCCGACAGCGGCCCGCAGGACCGCGACCCGTCGCACTGCGGATGTGGAAGCGTTTGGCTGGATCGGGCCGTTAGCCGCCGTTAGCTACCGCGCCTGGACCCTTTCTTTACAGCGAAACTGAACTCAGCCATTCGGTTCCCAAAGGTTCACATTACAGTACTGATACAGTCTCATCGGACAGAACCAAATGTACAAAAAGGCAGAGAGGAAAGAAGCTTACACCCAATCACCAACAGTTTCAGTAACCACAGAGGAAAAGGCCTATTTTTGATTAGATACATTATTAACATCATAATTACTCAGATTATTATTCATCTTCATTATTATTATTATTATTACTGTCACCACTGTGATTTGTTTAGGAATCAAGCGGGCCGGGCCGGGCCGGGCTCAGTCACTGGGAGGAGGCCTTCGTCGCTATCGTGGAGACGCAGTGCTGCTGGAAGTTAGGCGACACGGCCGAGTTGCAGCCCAGTCTCTGCAGCTCCTTCCCACGCACGCTGCTGCAGCAGCAGCATGGCGCCTGGGGGCCGGCACCGCCACCACCGCCGCCACCGCTCACCGCCAGGCCTTTGGGCTGGTCACCACCGGGAACCAAGTCCGGGTTCTGGCTCTGCAGGACGCTGCTGATGTGGCTCAGCAGGTCGTTGAAGAACTCCGGAACGCCTTCGTAACCTGGAAGCAGAGAAACGCTCAGGAAACGACGAGACGGTGCTCATTTGACCAAAAAACAGCAAAAACCAGGAAAAAAAAAATCATATTCATTGGGTTGATAATTTTAGTTATCAATTAATCGATTGTTTCTGACAATTAATCGATTATGGTAATGATTAACTGATAATTCTGAAGATTAACTGGACAAGAAAACTGGCACATTCTGCAGATTTTTAATTTAAATCTATTTTATACCATATTAGAAATACATTAAAGATGCAAACAAACAATTTAATTACTTTTTTAAACGAGAAAATAAACACTGTTGCCTAAAATGCAATAATCTAACATTCCTTTAGTGAACGCTTAATTATTTGTAACAAAAGATACATCCGCAAATATAAAGTACTTCTGACAACTTGTGAAAAGCTCAGTTGATTATTTTTGGGTTAATTGATTAATAACTGGATAGTAATACGATCCTAAGATATATTTTTTACAGACTTTGAACTGAGTGAAGCTGTTGCACCTGAGAAGTTTTGAATAAAACATATTCACAAACAGAGAAGAGCCTTTTTTTTCTTAAATGCAAAACGTATATATTTGTACAGTTTTGGCTTAATGACTGCTCTGACTGTGTTGTTCTTTCTGAAAATGGCCTTTTTTTTAATAATCTGGTTAGCAATTTATCGATTACTAAATTAGTTGACGATAATTCCAATAATCGATTAATTAACCGTTTCAGCGCCATCACTGACATAATTTTCTTACTATGGAAAACACAAAGAATGACACAAACTATTTGTCTTTTATAATAAGTAAAACTATCCAGAAACTTCCACTGAAAATTCAAGTTTGCTGCACCTAAATTAGATTTTGGTTATTCCAATAATCGATTAATCACGATTAATTCAATTAATCATTCCAGCCCTGGTTCAAATACATCAATTAAAAGCAGATTTGGCTTCACCAAAATGTACTTTAGAGTGTAAGTCAATGACTAGATGTGGTTCTTCAATGATTGTATAAAAAAATCAACATTTTTTTAATCTGATTAATCGTCAAAATAATTGATAGAATAAATTCTTCAGCTAAACCTGAGTTTCTGCAACATAAACACCCATGTTTATTGGCTACAGGGTAAAATACTGCTGAGGCCGCTCTGATCTGAAACAGCTCAGTGCCAAAGCAGCAACAGGAAGTCATCATTTTTAACC